TTTCAATCGTATTTAACAGAGGAAATTTCCGAGACATGGAGATCTTTGAACCGTTCGGTCGATGAACAAAAAAAAAAAAGCCAGCGTGCGTTTGCAAACTGCTGTATCGCGGAAATAGCAATAAAGCAACGTAAATACACGCAAATGGAACAATGATTCGCGAAATAAGCGATCGAACGGAACAATTCAATTTCCCTTTATGATCGCGGGTAATTGCAACGTTCGTGCAAACGTGTTTGTAAAATCGTATCGATTAATCCACCTCTGGGCGAAAACTTGTAAATCTTCATCGGCCGTAGATACTGAACAACGACTGAAGAACAAACGAATCGTCAAACATACATCCGCCGCCCTGTATCAGTTAATCTCCTCTCTGCAATTGTTGCAGTGCATCAAATCTCCAATATTATTCCCGTGTAGCGTACAATATGTACATGTGCACCAAGCACGAAACTGACTGACATAACATTGAACGTGAAACAAGCTTATGCGGAGCATATGCTTTTCTACCTCTATAAATCTGAGAAAATGTATTGGAACGAATCTTTGAACATGTATGCAGGGAGTAAAGAAGGGAGAATAATTAATTGCGATAACTTTCAAGACTGGTAGCACGGTTTCGCCAGGATTTACCGCGCTCGTGCCAAGGGGTCGTGGTTTTTGTTCGAGACGACAAGAAGCCAGGACTCCGGGGGAAGATTTAAACGCAGAGCGCGGCTTCAAAGACGCGCGAGACGAGCGGAAACAGGAAGGCAGACGGTCCCGGGGATTATGATTGCGCGTCGGCGACAGCGAAAACACCGGTAACGCGACTGACCGTGGAACATGCACGATAAAACCCCATCGCGCCGCTGCTGGGCTTAACGAGCCAGACATTTCGCGATGTTAGACCAGCCAGCTTCAATTCCACGCGTTGCACACGCCGACTGACACCGAATAACGCGGCAAAATGTTTCTCACGCGACGCGAGAAACCCGTCCGCCACTCCTCTCGAGGCTTTTTATTCGAAAGAAATAATTTGCACCCCTCGCACAGATGTAGTCTGTGACGCGTCCTCCAGAGGCGAGTCCTTTTGACACGTTTTCGAGTCTTTTTACGCGTTGGGGAATATTTTACACTTCTTTTTTTTAGATTCTGTACTGCACGAATGAGAGATCGATCCCGCAAAAGTTTCAATTGAGAAGAATTGTTTATTATTCGCGCAATTCTATTTTTCCTTTTTTTTTTTTTTTTTTTTTTTTTTTTTTTTTTNTTTTTTTTTGTTAAGTATATAGTACATTTGTATTGTAGTAAGACTGTAGCAACCGCTAGCTCCGAAGAATCTTAGATCAGCGCTATGTTCATTAAATCGTTCCGCCGAAAAATGCGTTTCCGATAAATTAACAATGCCAACTGAATGAAACTTATAAACAATAGAAAATTTAAAAATTGTTAGTCCAATTAATTATTGCAGATGTTTATATATATATATATATATATATATATATATAGTAATAATTAGAGAAATTATTTATTCGTTATTTATCATTCGTTATTTGTTATTCATTTTTAGTTAATATATATTTTGTTACATTGATAATATTTTTACATAAATTATCAAAATTAAATTATTATTTAAATTTGTAGTACTGTGATCAAAATTAATTATCATTATAGTACCTACAAGACACGGATGGGTGTTTGATCAAGTTAATTATTAGTATTATGAATATATATATATATATATATATATAGTAGGCAGTGGCAGCAAAGGAATGTAGTAGAACAAAGAAAGTGAAGAAAGAAATGTATCAGTTAGTGTTACGTGGGTAGAGAGAACAGCCACGTGTAAAGAATGTAAAGAGTATAAAGAGTTAAAAAAGATTATGTAAGAGTATGTAAGAGTTTATTTAGAATATTTATAGAATGTAACGAGTGTGTATGCATTTTGTATGAATATTATAATAAAGGATTTATATAGTACAGATAGATGGTAGCTAAGTGATCAAGTACCAGATTAGTGAATTCTACATGGTAATACATAGAGTAATTTCTACGTTGTATCTAATAGCAATTTCTTTGTGCTTATGAGCGTGAACATTTTTTACTAACATTTTTTAATACGACTGATAGTTATCAACGATTATACCGTACTAGATGATCGACGAAATTCAAGCACAAGTACACCAACTTCAACGGGATTAAAAACGAAAGACGAGGAGGCTAGGAGATGGTCGAAGGACGGAAAGTGATACTTCTTCGGCAGAGCCAGCTACTCGTCCCGAACGTGATTAATTTGATCGAACGAGTAAAGGAGATAAAGAGCTATCCATCAACAAGAGCAAGCTACGTCGAGCTTGCTTCCTCAAATATTAACACAATGGCAACATGGTGCGTTCGATAGCAACATGCCCAGTGCTTTCCAGCTCGTGAGCCGGAAGGACGAAACGCAAGATGGAAAGGAACTGTGGTTCCAGTGTAACGGTTACCTGGCTTAGCTTCTGGCGCTGTTATATTCGCATTATCATTCGTTAATTTCCAATAAGAATTTAAATTATTTGAATTGCTCGAATTGTTCATATTATTCGGAATTCGGATTGGAATTAAAATGGTCCGTATCATTGCAAGAAAGCAAAGTCCCATCTTACCGAAAACTTTCAATACTTGTTACGCTCGTTGGGAAAAGTCTCTGCTGCAACAGCAACGGAAACGAGTAAAACATTACCTTGTCCGTGTTTAATTCATACTAAGGAAACACGAGATGTATAAACCGTTCCAATTATTCGCAACAACTGCCCCCAAGAGATACAACAGCCACAAACGATTTAAATTCTAATCCGGAACGGCTGCTGGAAATTTCCGCGTTCAAGGGGGTAGCACGGTGGCGCAATACAGAGGGAACTTCGACAGCTGCAGTGAAAGTAGTTCAGCTCAAGAGATTCGTGTTTGCTTGTAAGCCTCTGCAAGACCGTTTGCGGTCAGCCGCAGCAGCAGCGACGAAAACTCGACTAGGGGCAGAGATGCCTTCAAAAATAGAACTCGAACCGAAGGGAGCATTCGCACGAAATCCTCCCCGAACGAAGGATCAGCGCTGAACGCGCAAAATTTACCATTGTTCACAGTTAGCCTCAGCTTTCTACGAAATATACTATACTATTAGTCGTTCGTTCGTCAATCTTTTTATACAGGAATAAAAAAGAGCGCGTTTCCGTTACTTCGGAGCATGCAACGATCAAAGAAAAATTTTAGTTTCCGTGCTGTTTCCACAAATATTTTAAAAAATCCCCGGCACTCCGGCAAGAAATATTTTTCCATATTTTTTCATAGGAAACTCCTAGTTGTGTATGTTAGAAATAGAGTGTATTTTAGAGAATAGAATATATAGGGTGTTTCGTAACTTGCGGGACCCACTTCGGAAGCTGATTGTACGCCTAAAAATAATGAAAAAAAATCATATAAATATATGTCCTATCTGTCTTCTTTGATGAGATACAATGAATTTTATAAACAGAGTAAACTCTAGTAAGCTAGTTTTACCAGGGATGGTATATTCAATTTTCATAATAATCATAATTGGGATGAAGAAAATCCACGTGTTATTGTGCATTCAAGACATCAACACCAGTTCAGTTTAAACATATGGGCACGAATAATTGATAAATTTTTAATTGGACCTCTTTTTCTTGATGAGAAACTAACAGGCACAAAGTACGTTGATTTTCCGAGCACGCGTTTACACGAAATATTAGAGGAAGTTCCAGTCGATATTAGATTATT